AATAAACAACAACTAACAATAACAATAAATGTCATAGCGAAATACCATCTGCCTTGACACGTATTACTCAACAGATAACATCGATAAAGATAGCAAGGTCTTGTGTTATCTTGTGTTATCTTGCTCTCCTCTGCACTCGTGCACACACACGCTCAAGAGACGGGGCCAGGAGCTGTGAATCGACCCCCGTAACCATATATAGGCGAGCACACATAGGTGAGTACACACACACAGGAGCTGAGAATCGACCCCTGTAATCACATATAAGTGAGTACACACGACATACCAAGTGATCAGGCAAGTATAACAGCTAGAAAAAGATTAAAGTTTCCCAACAAAACTAGTCCCAGAGCTGAGGGGGACGAGTTATGAAGCGACATTTCAGGAATTGAACCTGACGACTTCAGATGAAAGAAGACTTTGAGGAGACATAATCACGATATACACGATTCTCTTTTTCGCATTCAGAGCAATTAAGATCTACATTATTTAGTTTATAAGCGGCATTGTTATTTTGGTTTCCTTGCATTTGTCTATTAAACGGCATCTGCCGCTTCCCGGCCTATTTTGGTGGCGTCGGCAAACTTGCTTATGTCGCTGTTTATTCCTTCATCTGTGTCGTTACTGAAAATTGTAAACAGCAAGGGGCCCAATACTGACCCCTGTGGAGCACCGCTTATGACGCATCCTCTCATTTCTCTGTTTATTCAAACTCTGTTACCTATCTATCAGCCACGCCTCTATCCAGGAAAAAATTTCTCCTCCTACTCCTTGTGCCTTGACTTTCCTCAATAGTCTCCGATGTGGAACTCTGTCAAAAGCCTTACTGAAGTCCATATACACAATATCACATTCATTACCATGATCTACATCCTCAAATACCTTAGCGAAAAAGTTTGTAAATTCGTTAGGCAGGAACGCCCCTCTGTAAAACCATGTTGAGATTCGTTAATCAATATATATCTTTCAAGGTGACTTGGAATAGCCTCGGCAATTATTGATTCCATCAAATTTACCACTATGGAGGTTATGCTTATTGGTCTATAGTTGGAAGCTAAGGACCTGTCACCTGCTTTATAGATAGTATCACATTTGCCATTTTTTGCATATCAGGCACTGTGCCAGTTTGTAGTGATAAGTTGAAAAGATTAGCCAAAGATTTGCTAAGTTCCTCCTTACATTCCTTTGTAACCCTTGTGAAACAATTCATCAGTACCTGGGGATTTGTTAGGTTTTAATTTATCTGTCTAAGAACCATGTCACTTGTAATTTGGATCATGCACAGTTTATTTTCGTCCTAATCTACATATATTTTTTTATTCTGGAATTTCTCCAGTATCTTCCATCGTACAAACTGAGAGGAAATAAGCGTTGAAGATTGTACAAGTGTTTGTCACCGTCAGTGTGCTGGCTAGACCAGGTTTCGAGAGGGTCTGTTTTGTTACTAATCTTACTTCTATATACCTGAAAGAAATCTTTTGGGTTAATCCTCCAATTCCTTGCGATTTTAACCTCATAATTTATCTGGCTATCAATTAACCGGTCAAAATAGGTGATGGCAATAGCACACGAGCACGGATGCCTGTTACAGTAGATCACAGTAGATCACAGTAGATCACAGTAGATCACAGTTGTGAATGGTAATAAAGGATTTACAATCATTTAATTGACAATTCGCACGAGTTTTAGAGGGAATTTTAGTGGTGTTGATAGATAAGGATTTTTATTTCTTGCTGAGGAAGTGAACATCGTATTTTGAGACGTTAGGTTTATAAAGCACTTGTGACAAGTGCAGTGGAACACTTGTGACAAGTGCAGTGGAGCACTTGTGACAAGTGCAGTGGAGCACTTGTGACAAGTGCAGTGGAACACTTGTAACAAGTGCAGTGGAACACTTGTGACAAGTGCAGTGGAACACTGTGACAAGTGCAGTGAACACTGTGACAAGTGCAGTGGAACACTTGTAACAAGTGCAGTGGAACACTTGTGACAAGTGCAGTGGAACACTTGTGACAAGTGCAGTGGAACACTTGTGACAAGTGCAGTGGAACACTTGTGACAAGTGCAGTGGAACACTTGTGACAAGTGCAGTGGAACACTTGTGACAAGTGCAGTGGAACACTTGTGACAAGTACAGTGGAACACTTGTAACAAGTGCAGTGGAACACTTGTAACAAGTTCAGTGGAACACTTGTGACAAGTGCAGTGGAACACTTGTGACAAGTGCAGTGGAACACTTGTGACAAGTACAGTGGAACACTTGTAACAAGTACAGTGGAACACTTGTGACAAGTGCAGTGGAACACTTGTGACAAGTACAGTGGAACACTTGTAACAAGTGCAGTGGAACACTTGTAACAAGTGCAGTGGAACACTTGTAACAAGTGCAGTGGAACACTTGTAACAAGTGCAGTGGAACACTTGTGACAAGTACAGTGGAACACTTGTGACAAGTACAGTGGAACACTTGTGACAAGTACAGTGGAACACTTGTGACAAGTGCAGTGGAACACTTGTGACAAGTACAGTGGAACACTTGTGACAAATGCAGTGGAACACTTGTGACAAGTGCAGTGGAACACTTGTAACCTGTGCAGTGGAACACTTGTAACAAGTGCAGTGGAGCACTTGTGACAAGTGCAGTGGAACACTTGTGACAAGTGCAGTGGAACACTTGTGACAAGTACAGTGGACACACTGTGACAAGTGCAGTGGAACACTTGTGACAAGTGCAGTGGAACACTTGTGACAAGTGCAGTGGAACACTTGTGACAAGTGCAGTGGAACACTTGTGACAAGTGCAGTGGAATACTTGTAACAAGTACAGTGGAACACTTGTAACAAGTGCAGTGGAACACTTGTGACAAGTGCAGTGGAACACTTGTAACAAGTGCAGTAGAACACTTGTGATAAATGCAGTGGAACACTTGTAACAAGTGCAATGGAACACTTGGTGTATCAGAGAGATTCTTGTACCATGTGTTGTGTTGCAGCTCTCCAGGAAGACTGTAAACACTGGTTCAGTGTAGTGAACACTGACAGTGTAGGATGAACACTGGGTCAGTGTATAGTGAACACTGGGTCAGTGTATAGTGAACACTGGGTCAGTGTATAGTGAACACTGGGTCAGTGTATAGTGAACACTGGGTCAGTGTATAGTGAAAACTGGGTTAGTGTAGAGTGAACACTGGGTCAGTGTATAGTGAACACTGGGTCAGTGTAGAGTGAACACTGGTTCAGTGTAGAGTGAGCACTGACAGTGTAGAGTGAACACTGGGTCAGCACAGAGAGAACACTGGCCCAGTGTAGAGTGAACACTGGGTCAGTGTAGAGTGAACACTGACTCAGTGTAGAGTGAACACTGGGTCAGTGTAGAGTGAACACTGACAGAGTGAACACCGGGTCAGTGTAGAGTGAACACTGAAAGTGTAGAGTGAACACTGGCTCAGTGTAGAGTGAACACTGACAGTGTAGAGTGAACACTGGGTCAGTGTAGAGTGAACACTGGCTCAGTGTAGGGTGAACACTGGCTCAGTGTAGAGTGAACACTGACAGTGTAGAACGGACACTGACAGTGTAGAGTGAACACTGACAGTGTAGAGTGAACACTGGCTCAGTGTAGAGTGAACACTGACAGTGTAGAGTGAACACTGACAGTGTAGAATGAACACTGGCTCAGTGTAGAGTGAACCCTGGCTCAGTGTACAGTGAACACTGGCTCAGTGTAGAGTGAACACTGGCTCAGTGTAGATTGAACACTGGGTCAGTGTAGAGTGAACACTTGGTCAGTGTAGAGTGAACACTTGGTCAGTGTAGAGTGAACACTTGGTCAGTGTAGAGTGAACACTGGGTCAGTGTAGAGTGAACACTGGGTCAGTGTAGAGTGAACACTGGGTCAGTGTAGAGTGAACACTGGGTCAGTGTAGAGTGAACACTGGGTCAGTGTAGAGTGAACACTGGGTCAGTGTAGAGTGAACACTGGGTCAGTGTAGAGTGAACACTGGGTCAGTGTAGAGTGAACACTGGTATAGGTGTAAGAGCTGAGTATTCTGTATACATTTATATACACAGCAGTAAGTGTGCATAGTATGTATACTAGCAGATTTTTTCTAATCCTTATATAAACATAATTTTAAAAGTGGTGGAGAGGTAAGCCGGCGGACGGCCTCGGTCAGATGACCAAAAGCTCTAGTTGTGGGTCGTCATATGACTGAGACCTGTGTCAGGAAACACTTGTCCTGTTTCCTGACAAATCTTACCCAACCTAATTTAACCTAAGGCCAGGTCAAGATTCTTCAACAAGACGGCGTGTGTGAAGGTTAAAATGTTTATCCTGCCTTTGTGTCTCTAGACATCTTCCCTTCTTATTACATTGTTATATGCTTCATAACACACCTGTTGTCCATGTTCACCCATCAGTAAAATAGGTAAGTGGTTGTTAGTGGACTGGTGTGGGTCGCATCCTGGGACAAAACTGACCTAATTTGCGGGAAAATGCTCAGCACAACAAGCGGCTTTCTATGTCACCTAGGACTGTATACCTTGTGCTTGTAAATAAAGATTATTATTATTATTATTATTATTATTATTATTATTATTATTACTATTATTATTATTATTATTATTATTATTATTATTATAGGACTGAAGAAGCCACTCATGGCGATACGTTTCCTCTAATATATTACACACGTCATGTTCCACGGTATCAGCAGACTATGTTACACACGTCATGTTCCACGGTATCAGCAGACTATGTTACACACGTCATGTTCCACGGTATCAGCAGACTATGTTACACACGTCATGTTCCTCGGTATCAGTCATTTTTAAGGTTAGTAAAGAAACTCGCTGAAGACTCATTATCATCTATCAGTGGTAATCACCCACTGACCCACATAATACCAGTGGTGTCAACATTGGCCATGGAATACAACAAATCATTATCTAATCAGTTGATTGGTTGCCCTAAATCCATTGTAAAGGGACGTCACTTGCAGGGCTAGGTGGGACCTGGAGCTGCAGTCTATCCCTCACCATCGTCCCAGTAATACCTCCAGCACACCCCACTAACACAGCTGGCAAGTCGACATTTCTACGTGTATATAAACACAGGTAAGTCTTGTATATTCAAGTGTGGTAGAGATTAATACATGTGTCCTTTTACTCACACTCAGGATACCTATTTACTGCTAGGTGAAACAGGATTCGAGCCCAGGTCTACTCGCTTGTGAGATGAAAGTTCTATCACTGACCATTTCATTTTTTTTTGACTTGACAAAGCTTTATAGAGCTCTGCTGGTCCTCCTGCTTCCCACCTTCCTCTGTCCCTCCTGGTCCTCCTACTTCCCACCTTCCACTGTCCCTCCTGGTCCTCCTGCTTCCCACCTTCCACTGTCCCTCCTGGTCCTCCTACTTCCCACCTTCCACTGTCCCTCCTGGTCCTCCTGCTTCCCACCTTCCACTGTCCCTCCTGGTCCTCCTACTTCCCACCTTCCACTGTCCCTCCTGGTCCTCCTGCTTCTCACCTTCCACTGTCCCTCCTGGTCCTCCTGCTTCTCACCTTCCACTGTCCCTCCTGGTCCTCCTGCTTCTCACCTTCCACTGTCCCTCCTGGTCCTCCTGCTTCTCACCTTCCCCTGTCCCTCCTGGCCTCCTGCTTCCCACCTTCCACTGTCCCTCCTGGTCCTCCTGCTTCTCACCTTCAACTGTCCCTCCTGGGCCTCCTGCTTCCCACCTTCCACTGTCCCTCCTGGTCCTCCTGCTTCCCACCTTCCACTGTCCCTCCTGGTCCTCCTACTTCCCACCTTCCACTGTCCCTCCTGGTCCTCCCGCTTCTCACCTTCCACTGTCCCTCCTTTTCCTCCTGCTTCCCACCTTCCACTGTCCCTCCTGGTCCTCCTGCTATCCCATCTTCCACTGTCCCTCCTGGTCCTACCTGCTTCCCATCTTCCACTGTCCCTCCTGGTCCTCCTGCTTCCCATCTTCCACTGTCCCTCCTGGTCCTCCTGCTTCCCATCTTCCACTGTCCCTCCTGGTCCTCCTGCTTTCCCATCTTCCACTGTCCTTCCTGTCCTCCTGCTTTCCATCTTCCACTGTCCCTCCTGGTCCTCATGCTTCCCGTCTTCCACTGTCCCTCCTGGTCCTCCTGCTTTCCATCTTCCACTGTCCCTCCTGGTCCTCCTGCTTCCCGTCTTCCACTGTCCCTCCTGGTCCTCCTGCTTTCCATCTTCCACTGTCCCTCCTGGTCCTCCTGCTTCCCGTCTTCCACTGTCCCTCCTGGTCCTCCTGCTTTCCATCTTCCACTGTCCCTCCTGGTCCTCCTGCTTCCCGTCTTCCACTGTCCCTCCTGGTCCTCCTGCTTTCCATCTTCCACTGTCCCTCCTGGTCCTCCTGCTGCCCGTCTTCCACTGTCCCTCCTGGTCCTCCTGCTTTCCACTTCCACTGTCCCTCCTGGTCCTCCTGCTTCCCGTCTTCCACTGTCCCTCCTGGTCCTCCTGCTTTCCATCTTCCACTGTCCCTCCTGGTCCTCCTGCTTCCCGTCTTCCACTGTCCCTCCTGGTCCTCCTGCTTCCCGTCTTCCACTGTCCCTCCTGGTCCTCCTGCTTCCCATCTTCCACTGTCCCTCCTGGTCCTCCTGCTTCCCGTCTTCCACTGTCCCTCCTGGTCCTCCTGCTTCCCATCTTCCACTGTCCCTCATGGTCCTCCTACTTCCCGTCTTCCACTGTCCCTCCTGGTCCTCCTACTTCCCGTCTTCCACTGTCCCTCCTGGTCCTCCTACTTCCCGTCTTCCACTGTCCCTCCTGGTCCTCCTGCTTCCCATCTTCCACTGTCCCCTCCTGGTCCTCCTACTTCCCGTCTTCCACTGTCCCTCCTGGTCCTCCTGCTTCCCATCTTCCACTGTCCCTCCTGGTCCTCCTACTTCCCTCTTCCACTGTCCCTCCTGGTCCTCCTACTTCCCGTCTTCCACTGTCCCTCCTGGTCCTCCTGCTTCCCATCTTCCACTGTCCCTCCTGGTCCTCCTGCTTCCCATCTTCCACTGTCCCTCCTGGTCCTCCTGCTTCCCGTCTTCCACTGTCCCTCCTGGTCCTCCTGCTTCCCATCTTCCACTGTCCCTCCTGGTCCTCCTGCTTCCCATCTTCCACTGCCCTAAACAAAACAACACAAGTGATCTTGTAACTGCTGCCATTTTCACATCTACAGATTACTTCAGTAACCAAAACACGTATAATAATGATTGTGCATAATGAATAAGATATACACACCGAGATGTATATATCACGGTGTATATACACTAAGTTTACATTAGTCACTGTTATAGGTATTAAAGTATTCCTGAGTGATGGTGAACAGGTGACATGCGGTCTTACGAGGCACCTAAGTTCCCTCGTCTTCTAATAACATGTTCATTTTTCGACTATAATCTACTTTGTACATAATTACAGCCACATTTGCTTTGAGAATAATTGTGCTGGAGAGCTCTGAGCTTTGACTGAAGAAGTCTACTGTGTAAGTGATACATTCCTTCAATAAAGACACCCAACTGTTGCACATGTGTCTTAATCATCAACTTGTCAGTATTTTATACTATTTCCAACACTGACGACCATGCATCACGTCTCCTCCAGTACAGGTGAAGTACCAGTGACCTGGTGATCCTTGTGGGACCAATACTTTAACAAGGGTGACCTGGTGATCCTTGTGTGATCAATACTTTAACAAGGGTGACCTGGTGATCCTTGTGTGATCAATACTTTAACAAGGGTGACCTGGTGATCCTTTTGGGACCAATATTTTAACAAGGATGACCTGGGTAACAGGAGGGACCATACTCTAACAAGGGTGACAAATACAGTGGAACCTCGGCTTGCGAATTTAATCCGTTCTGTGGCCTTATTCGTATCCCGATTTGTTCGTATGCTGAGTCAATTTTCCTCATTTAAATTAATTGAAATGGCATTAATCCGTTCCAGCGGAATTCCTGCTCTCAGGAGGCACGACAAAATACTTCAATATGATACTAATATGAACTCTACGACTTATATATATATCACAATTCATCAAATTTCACCATCACTCAAGGAATGCACAAGAGGCGCATCATTGTCAATGTTCAGCATTTCTTCGGTGTCAGTTTCCTGTAACTACATTAGCACACAGTTAAGATGAGTAAATAGAATTGGCAATGCTTAATGCTTGAGTACATTCATTCTGTTAGTGATTATCAAATGGTATATAATACCGACAGGTTGGTAGATAAAACACATAGGCAACATTTAGGCAACTTTATTCCGAAACGTTTCGCCTACACAGTAGGCTTCTTCAGTCGAGTACAGAAAGTAGGCGGGAGCAGTAGAGATGTGAAGACGATGTAATCAGTCCATTACCCTTGAAGTCGTAGAATTTGAGGTTATCAGTCCCTCAGCCTGGAGAAGTTCAGTTCCATAGTCAGAAGAAGCCTACTGTGTAGGCGAAACGTATCAGAATAAAGTTGCCTAAATGTTGCCTATGTGTCTTATCTACCATTCTGTTAGTGGGTTGGATCTGTGAAGGACCTGCCTAGTAAGAGCCAAGAGGCCTACTGCAGTATTCCTCCTTTCTCATGTTATTATGTACCCACGACACCAATCATACCCAGCCCCTCCCACCAATCTCTTTTTAAAGCTACCCAAGGCTCTATCAAAGTTAAACCTTGGGTAGTTTCAAATTTAGGTTGGATAAATACATGAGTGAGAGGGGGTTGGATTTGAGTGGGACTTGCACATGAGTAAATAGAATTGTCAGAGCTTATTGCTTGGATAGCATTGAAAACTGAGCTGGGCAAATATTCTGTTAGTGGGATGGATTGTGAAGGACCTGCAGTGTATTATTATTAGTACATATGCATTATTATTATTATTATTAATGCTAATTTAGGGAAGTGGAGCACAGATCCAATTCCTTTGATCAAGAGCCCCTCACCAAGGAACCTCCCTTGAGAGGGAAGTTTGCATCCTGAAATTTCGTTCGTATCCAGAAGCAAAAAATCGATCGAGTGACTGTTCGTATCCTGAAAAATTCGCATGGTGGGGCATTCGTAAACCGAAGTCCCACTGTACAAGTGTTAACCAGCGCAGCGGAAGTAACTACTGCCAAGATAACTATTGTGATACTGTCAACATGTCCAGGACAAATACCGAGAAGGAACAACAACAGCAACAACAGTCATGGGTGAGCAGTCTCACTTCTTTTTCATCAGTAATTTAATACAATAATTTAATAATAAACAAACACAATGAAATATAATTTTCACGTTAGGTTCAGAATCATTTTTGCGAAATTATTGCATACACAAATTTTCGCTTGACTTGTATATATATCCATTCTGTAATACGGTGACCAAAACTGCGCAGCATAATCTAAATGAGGCCTAACCAAGGATATATAGACTTGAACAAACCTAAGGGCTTCTATTTATACTTCTTGTAAAGTAAAAGGACACAAGTGCAACTAATGTGACATTTTATTGTGGCAACGTTTCGCTCTCCAGGAGCTTTATCAAGCCATTACAAACAATACATGGACACAGAGGGTATATATAGGCTCAGAGTGAGGTGCAATACTAGTGGTAGTAGTAGTAGTAGTAGTAATGTCAAAAGTTGTAGTAGTAGTAATACAATATGGTAGAGCAATTAATTCGTACATGAGTAAAAGGATAAAAGCCATTACTTGGGTAACAAAAACAGGTTAGACAAATATAGACTGGATAGAGGCAGCTTGTTTCAGTGTTCACTCTCTGTAATGTGCTTTGTGTAGTATAACAGGATGGCAGGGTTTACTGTTTTCAGGAGGATTCTTGCTAAGACTTCAGAGATGGTGAAGCTGCCGTTGTTTTGTTTAATTGTATTCGCAGCGATCAGTGCTGATTCGAGGCACTTGCGTCTGCGGAAATTAGTTTCTTTGATCACTAATTGGGCGTCCCTGAAACAAACAAACAAACAAACAAACCTACGGCATGGAAATGGGGTCCCCCATCAGTGCCGTCCTAGCCAACTTACACATGGAACACCTAGAGTCCGAACACTTCGCCAACATCATCCCTTCAAGCGTCACTTGGTTACGTTACGTGGACGACGTCCTCATAATAACTCCCAAACGCTTTGATATACGGAATCTACAGGCAAGGCTCAACGCAGTTGAACCGGCGATCCAGTTTACACTAGAAGGAGAGTCCAATGACAAGCTACCTTTCCTCGACGTCCTCATTCACAAAGTAGACAACAACCTAAGATTTCAAGTTTATCGGAAACCTACCAATAAAAATTATCTCACACACTTCTATTCCAGTCAAGATACCAAGACCAAAAGAGGCATCATCATCTGGTTTTTCCTAAGAGCATACCGAATTTGTAGTCCTGAGTTTCTTGACGAGGAATGTACATACATTCACCAAACATTCACTGAGTTACATTTTCCTTCCTTTTTCATCAAAGACTGCAAGAAAAGAGCTCTTCAGATCCTTAATTCTCCACGCATCAACACCACTCCCAACAAAGTTATAATTCTTCCCAACAGCCAGGTTGCACTGAACGTTTCTAAAGTACTTTCACAAGCTAACACCAGAGTCGCCATCGCTTCTAGCACTTCAATAAAGGATCTAACCAGGACAAAATCAAAGCACCACGAACCAGTCAACGCAGGAGTTTACACTATGAACATTAAAATGGTATAAAATACCGACAGGTTGTTAGGTAAGACACATATGCAACTGTTAGGTATCTTTATTTCGAAACGTTTCGCCTACACAGTAGGCTTCTTCAGTCGAGTACAGAAAAGTTGATAGAAGCAGAAGAGACTTGAAGACGATGTAATTAGTCCATCACCCTTAAAGTTTTGAGGTGGTCAGTCCCTCAGTCTGGAGAAGAGCATTGTTCCGTAGTCTGAAACTATATTGTTTCAGACTATGGAACAATGCTCTTCTCCAGACTGAGGGACTGACCACCTCAAAACTTTAAGGGTGATGGACTGATTGCATCGTCTTCAAGTCTCTTCTGCTTCTATCAACTTTTCTGTACTCGACTGAAGAAGCCTACTGTGTAGGCGAAACGTTTCGAAATAAAGATACCTAACTGTTGCATATATGTCTTACCTAACAACAGTTTACACTATACCCTGTGGAGGCTGTGACAAGATTTACGTAGGTGAAACAGCAAGAAACCTCGACACCCGCCTCAATGAACACATTTACGCATGTAGGAACGATTACTTGAACAACGCCTGTGTACAACACCGAAATTCCACCAATCATCTCATGAAATTCAGGGACGCCCAATTAGTGATCAAAGAAACTAATTTCCGCAGACGCAAGTGCCTCGAATCAGCACTGATCGCTGTTTCGAATACAATTAAACAAAACAACGGCAGCTTCACCATCTCTGAAGTCTTAGCAAGAATGTGCAAGAATGGTATATAATACCGACAAGATGAAATTAAGACACATGTGCAACATCTGGGTATCTTTATTGTAGACGTTTCGCCATCCAGTGGCTTTATCAATACAAATTCTAGGACCTAACTTGAAGACAGTAGGACTATATACAGAAGATGAGGTAATCAGTCCCTCAACCTAGGAGTAGGTGCGAAGAGCACCATAGTCGTGGAGATTCTGAAGCAGAAGCAAGGAGCCTGGCGCTTATATAGTAACGTCAGGTGTAGCAGACGAGGGCATAGTCACTGGTGACTATGCCCTATGTCACAGTGACTATGCCCTCGTCTGCTACACCTGACGTTACTATATAAGCGCCAGGCTCCTTGCTTCTGCTTCAGAATCTCCACGACTATGGTGCTCTTCGCACCTACTCCTAGGTTGAGGGACTGATTACCTCATCTTCTGTATATAGTCCTACTGTCTTCAAGTTAGGTCCTAGAATTTGTATTGATAAAGCCACTGGATGGCGAAACGTCTACAATAAAGATACCCAGATGTTGCACATGTGTCTTAATTTCATCTTAGCAAGAATCCTCCTGAAAACAGTAAACCCTGCCATCACATAGTCTCTCCTGTTATACTACACAAAGCACATTACAGAGTGAACACTGAAACAAGCTGCCTCTTTCCAGTCTATATTTGTCCAACCTATTTTTATGTTACCTATTACAACCCAGGATTCCAAATGGCCTGTTATCCCGGGTGTAATGGGAGCAAAATAAACACAGTAGAAAAAGTTTAGACTTATATTATCCTTCACCAATTTAGAACAGCAATATGTACACTATGTACAGTGATAAGTATAGTGCACTCCACGGTAAGCAAAGCAGAAATAGAAGCCACAAGATAGCAGACCGTGCTTCAACCAGCTCTAGAATGGGAATGACAAGGGCAGACAGGAGAGCGGTACCCACATAACCTCTGCGATTGCCAAAACCATCTTCTTATTGGCTAGAACCTGGTCACTAGTTGAACGACGGGGCCCCATCATCAACTCTTAGCAACCTGGTTCGCTGGTTGGGGGAGATAGCCTGTAAATGAGGGTGTGTACATGCGCCGAATAAAGGTTACGTACTCTTTGCATGCCACATTACCCAAGTAATAGCTTTTATCCTTTTACTCATGTACGAATTAATTGCTCTACCATATTGTATTACTAATACTACTACTACTACAACTTTTGACACTACTACTACTACCACTAGTATTGCACCTCACTCTGAGCCTATATATACCCTCTGTGTCCATGTATTGTTTGTAATGGCTTGATAAAGCTCCTGGAGAGCGAAACGTTGCCACAATAAAATGTCACATTAGTTGCACTTGTGTCCTTTTACTTTACATATTGTCGGTAATTCTACCAACTTTATACTTCTTAATATGAAGCCAAGGATTCTGTTAGCTTTATTGGGAACACTAATGCACTGTTGTCTTGGTTTTAGATTACTGCTAACCAGAACTCCTAAATCCTTTTCGCAATCATTAATATTATGATCTACATTATTTAGTTTATATGTAGCATGGTTATTTACCTGTCCAATGTTTAGAACTTTGTATTTGTCTATATTAAACTGCATCTGCCACTTCTCCGACCACTGCATCACTCCTTACACCCTCCCCTGCCACTACATAACCCTCCCCTGCCACTACATATACCCTCCCCTGCCACTACATAACCTTCTCCTGCCACTACATATACCCTCCCTGCCACTACATATACCCTCCCCTGCCACTACACATACCCTCTCCTGCCACTACATATACCCTCTCCTGCCACTACATAACCCTCTCCTGCCACTACATATACCCTCCCCTGCCACTACATAACCCTCTCCTGCCACTACATATACCCTCCCCTGCCACTACATAACCCTCTCCTGCCACTACATATACCCTCCCCTGCCACTACATAACCCTCTCCTGCCACTACATATACCCTCCCCTGCCACTACATAACCCTCTCCTGCCACTACATATACCCTCCCCTGCCACTACATAACCCTCTCCTGCCACTACATATACCCTCCCCTGCCACTACATAACCCTCTCCTGCCACTACATATACCCTCCCCTGCCACTACATATACCCTCCCCTGCCACTACAATACCCTCTCCTGCCACTACATATACCCTCTCCTGCCACTACATAACCCTCTCCTGCCACTACATATACCCTCCCCTGCCACTACATAACCCTCTCCTGCCACTACATATACCCTCCCCTGCCACTACATAACCCTCTCCTGCCACTACATATACCCTCCCCTGCCACTACAATAACCTCTCCCCTGCCACTACATATACCCTCCCCTGCCACTACATAACCCTCTCCCTGCCACTACATAACCCTCCCCTGCCACTACATAACCCTCCTCCTGCCACTACATATACCCTCCCCTGCCACTACATAACCCTCCCCTGCCACTACATAACCCTCTCCTGCCACTAACATATACCCTCCCCTGCCACTACATAACCCTCTCCTGCCACTACATATACCCTCCCCTGCCACTACATATACCCTCCCCTGCCACTACATATACCCTCCCCTGCCACTACATAACCCTCTCCTGCCACTACATATAACCTCCCCTGCCACTACATATACCCTCCCCTGCCACTACATAACCCTCTCCTGCCACTACATATAACCTCCCCTGCCACTACATAACCCTCCCTGCCACTACATAACCCTCTCCTGCCACTACATATAACCTCCCCTGCCACTACATATACCCTCCCCTGCCACTACATAACCCTCTCCTGCAACTACATATAACCTCCCCTGCCACTACATATACCCTCCCCTGCCACTACATAACCCTCTCCTGCCACTACATATAACCTCCCCTGCCACTACATATACCCTCCCTGCCACTACATATACCCTCCCCTGCCACTACATAACCCTCTCCTGCCACTACATATACCCTCCCCTGCCACTACATAACCCTCTCCTGCCACTACATATACCCTCCCCTGCCACTACATATACCCTCCCCTGCCACTACATAACCCTCTCCTGCCACTACATATACCCTCCCCTGCCACTACTTATACCCTCCCCTGCCACTACATATACCCTCCCCTGCCACTACATATACCCTCCCCTGCCACTACATAACCCTCTCCTGCCACTACATATACCCTCCCCTGCCACTACATATACCCTCCCCTGCCACTACACATACCCTCTCCAGCCACTACATATACCCTCTCCTGCCACTACATATACCCTCCCCTGCCACTACATATACCCTCTCCTGCCACTACATATACCCTCCCCTGCCACTACATATACCCTCTCCTGCCACTACATATACCCTCCCCCTGCCACTACATATACCCTCTCCTGCCACTACATATACCCTCCCCTGCCACTACATATACCCTCCCCTGCCACTACATATACCCTTTCCAGCCACTACATATACCCTCCCCTGCCACTACATATACCCTCTCCAGCCACTACATATACCCTCCCCTGCCACTACATATACCCTCCCCTGCCACTACATATACCCTCTCCTGCCACTACATATACCCTCCCCTGTCACTACATATACCCTCCCCTGCCACTACATATACCCTCTCCTGCCACTACATATACCCTCCCCTGCCACTACATATACCCCTCCTGCCACTACATATACCCTCACCTGCCACTACATATACCCTCCCTGCCACTACATATACCCTCTCCTGCCACTACATATACCCTCCCCTGCCACTACATATACCCTCCCTGCCACTACATATACCCTCAACTGCCACTACATATACCCTCTCCTGCCACTACATATACCCTCCCCTGCCACTACATATACCCTCCCCTGCCACTACATATACCCTCTCCTGCCACTACATATACCCTCCCCTGCCACTACATATACCCTCCCCTGCCACTACATATACCCTCCCCTGCCACTACATATACCCTCCCCTGCCACTACATATATACCCTCCCCTGCCACTACATTATACCCTCCCCTGCCACTACACTTTATACCCTCCCCTGCCACTACACTTTATACCCTCCTCTGCCACTACACTTTATACCCTCCTCTGCCACTACACTTTATACTCTCCTCTGCCACTGCACTTTATACCCTCCCCTGCCACTACACTTTATACCCTCCCCTGCCACTACACTTTATACCCTCCCCTGCCACTACACCTTATACCCTCCCCTGCCACTACATTTTATATCCTCCCTGCCACTACACTTTATACCCTTCTCTGCCACTACATTTTATACCCTCTCCTGCCACTACACTTTATACCCTCCCCTGCCACTACACTTTATACCCTCCCCTGCCACTACACTTTATACCCTCCCTGCCACTGCCCTTTATACCCTCCCCTGCCACTGCCCTTTATACCCTCCCCTGCCACTACACTTTATAACCCTCCCCTGCCACTGCCCTTTATACCCTCCCTGCCACTGCCCTTTATACCCTCCCCTGCCACTGCCCTTTATAACCCTCCCCTGCCACTACACTTTATACCCTCCTTGCCACTACACTTTATACCTTCCTCTGCCACTGCACTTTATACCCTCCCCTACCACTACACTTTATACCCACCCCTGCCACTACACCTCATGCCCTCCCCTGCCACTACTCTTATACCTTCCCCTGCCACTACACCTTATACCCTCCTCTGCCACTACACTCTATACCTTCCCCTGCCACTACACCTTCTACCTCCTCTGCCACTACATTTTAACCCTCCCCTGCCACTACACCTTATACCCTCCCCTGCCACTACACTTTATACCCTCCCATGCCACTACACTTTATACCCTCCTCTGCCACTGCACTTTATACCCTCCCCTGCCACTACACTTTAAACCCTCCCCTGCCACTACACTTTATACCCTCCCCTGCCACTGCCCTTTATACCCTCCCCTGCCACTGCCCTTTATACCCTCCCCTGCCACTACACTTTATACCCTCCCCTGCCACTACACTTTATACCCTCCCCTGCCACTACACTTTAAACCCTCCCCTGCCACTACACTTTATAACCCTCCCCTGCCACTGCCCTTTATACCCTCCCCTGCCACTGCCCTTTATACCCTCCCCTGCCACTACACTTTATACCCTCCCCTGCCACTACACTTTATACCCTCCTCTGCCACTGCACTTTATACCCTCCCCTGCCACTACACTTTATACCCTCCCCTGCCACTACACTTTATACCCTCCCCTGCCTCTACACTTTATACCTTCCTCTGCCACTGCACTTTATACCCTCCCCTACCACTACACTTTATACCCTCCCCTGCCACTGCCCTTTATACCCTTCCCTGCCACTGCCCTTTATACCCTCCCCTGCCACTACACCTTATACCCTCCCCTGCCACTACACCTTATACCCTCCCCTGCCACTACACCTTATACCCTCCCCTGCCACTACACCTTATACCCTCCCCTGCCACTAACACCTTATACCATCCCCTGCCACTACACCTTATACCCTCCCCTGCCACTACACCTTATACCATCCCCCTGCCACTACACCTTATACCCTCCCCTGCCACTACACTTTATACCCTCCCCGCCACTACACTTTATACCATCCCCTGCCACTACACCTTATAACCCTCCCCTGCCACTACACCTTATACCCTCCCCTGCCACTACACTTTATACCATCCCCTGCCACTACACCTTATACCCTCCCCTGCCACTACACCTTATACCATCTCCTGCCACTACACCTTATACCATCCCCTGCCACTACACCTTATACCATCTCCTGCCACTACACCTTATACCCTCCCCTGCCACTACACCTTATACCCCCTCTGCCACCTACTGTTCAGAGTGCAGTGACATCTGTCATATATTAATGCATGTTTGTCATACAGATGACGGCGGTGTATGCTGTGTTATCACTATCGTTGTTCCTGGTGATGTTTGGGTTTGTCCTGGTATTGGATAATGTTACCCCTGGCATCTCTTACACCTGTGTTATCCTAGGAGGTAAGTACTGCTGCTGATCTTTCTCTCTCTCTCTCTCTCTCTCTCTCTCTCTCTCTCTCTCTCTCTCTCTCTCTCTCTCTCTCTCTCTCTCTTTCTCTCTCTCTTTCTCTTCTCTCTCTCTCTCTCTCTCTCTCTCTCTCTCTCTCTCTCTCTCTCTCTCTTTACACAGGTTTGACAAGGTTAGGATTCGTAACTTTATTGACAAGCTAAGAGCTGTTACCTATATCAACTCATTTAAAAGCATTGTTATGAGACATACAAGTAGGGAACAGGATGAGGTTGGAGCCATCTGTAGGCCTGCATTTTCATTTGATCAACTGACTTTATCTCGTTGACATCATAATGTTGTACTAATGTGTTCCATACTCGAGTCATCCTGGGGATAAATGATCTCAGATGAAGTGATGTTCTGGAGAAGGGTACAGCCAGAGTGAAGTTGCTGCTGGCTGCCCGTCTTGTGGTATAGAAACTTGCTTCACGCTGTCCTCGAAGTGGAGCTAAGTGTGGTACTTTGACAATATTGGCATTGTACATAACAGTACATAACTGACCTTGTACATGGTCAGTTTGGAGTCAAATTTCACCCGAAGTATATCATCACCTTCCCTGGGTACCAACACTTTCCCAGTCATACTTACTACTGCTCCAGAATCACCGTAATGGTGCCTAGAGACAATCGTCATTTGTGTTTTCTCAGGTTCAAATGTTACTTGCCATCGGTTTCCCCAATCTGATATAGCTCTTAGCTGGCGATTGATGTAGCTTAGAGCAGCTGGCATTTCTTCTCTTGGATAAGTAAATGTCAGTGTACAGTCGTCTGCATATGCATGGGATTCTGGGATGAGATGAAGGTCATTGAGGTAGACATTCCATAGCAATGGACCCAACACACTTCTCTTTGGGACACTTGCCCCAATAGGATGTCTTGCTGAAGATTGAGACACTTATGCAACATATGGGAATCTTTATTCAGGAAACGTTTCGCCACACAGTGGCTTCATCAGTCCAATACAAAGAGGAAGGCGTAAGGAGAGGAGAAGTATGAGGTAATCAGTCCCTCAGCCTGGAGTCGATGTGTTCAGTCCATCAATCTTGTAGAATGTACAGCATAGGGCCGTAGACGTGGCTTATATACTGTAGTGAGGTGAGGTGAAGCAGGCGGAGGCGGGGTCATAGTGGTACCATCCACTAGTCGAAGTAGGTCTTCGTCCAAAGGTTGAACAAGTGTTGAAGAATTCTTTGTAACAAGATCCCATGATGCTGCAACTGTCAGACACTGGAGCATCATGGGATCTTGTTACAAAGAATTCTTCGACACTTGTTCAACCTTTGGACGAAGACCTACTTCGACTAGTGGATGGTACCACTATGACCCCGCCTGCTTCACCTCACCTCACTACAGTATATAAGCCACGTCTACGGCCCTATGCTGTACATTCTACAAGATTGATGGACTGAACACATCGACTCCAGGCTGAGGGACTGATTACCTCATACTCCTCCTCTCCTTACGCCTTCCTCTTTGTATTGGACTGATGAAGCCACTGTGTGGCGAAACGTTTCCTGAATAAAGATTCCCATATGCTGCATAAGTGTCTCAATCTTCAACTTGTCGGTTTTTCAAACCATTCATCACACAGGATGTCTTGCTGATTCTGTTCCATTGAGAATTATCCTTAGAGATCTACCATGAAGGTAATCACTGAGTAGACATAGTGTAGAGCCTTCAATTCTCAGTGCTTGAAGTTTTACGAAGAGGCCCTGGTGCCACACTCGGTCGAAATCACCAGCAATGTCCAGATCTACCACACAACTGACTTTGGATTCATCCAGTGACTGGTGCCATTTAGTGGAGAGGTTTAACAGCAGATCAGCAACAGAGTAACCTTTCCTGAAGCCATATTGACGGTCACAAAGTAGTGACAGGTAGTCAAAAATCTGTCATTCGTCTCGAGATTATTGTCTCATGGATCTTGCCAGTGATTGACAGGAGTGACACTGGTTTGTAGTTCCTGATTTCTGCTCTGCTCTTCTTTTTGTGAACAGGGACTACATTTGCCTCTTTCCGCAGAGAATACCATTTACACTGTACTAGGCAGTGCTGAAAGATGCGAGTTAGAGGTGCTGCTAGCTGGTCTGCACATCTTCTCAGCAATCTTGGGCTCAACTTGTCTGGGCCCTCAGCATTTTCTTGGTCAAGCGGTTTAAGAATAAGATGCACCTCCTTCTGCCTTATTGTCACCACTGGCAGTTTTGACACAGTTCTTGCAGCTAGCCAAGGAGGGTCCCTTGCTGGATCAGGAACTTGCAGTTTGATAGCGAAGTGTTCGGCAAAGAGGTCAGCTTTCTCTTGACTATTTGTAGAGGTGGTCCAATCCTGTCGATTTAGAGGTGGAATGAGTTCATCAGGCAGATAACCTTGTTCGTGCTTGACCAGGGACCACCAGGTTTTGGAGCCTACCCTACCTGATGCTAGCTTTCTTTTTGTGTCCACCTCCCATTTAGAAATGGTCAACTTTTGAACTTCACCCATATGCCTACAGGCTTGCCTGTGCAAGTTCCTGTTATAGGTAGTAGGATGCCTCTTTTACCTTCTACGAGCCTTGTACTTAGCTGTAGCAGCCTCTCTACAACGAAAGCCAAACTAAGGCTGATCTGTAGGCTTCGTCATATAATGCCGGTGAGGAATGTGCTCTTGTTGTAGATTAAGGATGGGTTCAGTGATGGCTTTCACTTGGTTGTCAACATCCTCTTGGAGAAGAGCATTCCAAACTGAGGTGGTGAGCTCAGAGCAAAGTGCTCTCTCTCTCTCTCTCTCTCTCTCTCTCTCTCTCTCTCTCTCTCTCTCTCTCTCTCTCTCTCCTCTCTCTCTCTCTCTCTCCCCTCTCTTTCCCTCTCTCTCTCTCTTCTCTCTCTCTCTCTCTCTCTTTCTCTCTTCACTCTATCTATCTATCTATCTATCTCTGACTTTATCATATCTTCCCCAGGCAGTATGATGTTGATGTGTGTGGTTTTGTCGGTGGTGAAGCAGCTGGGAGGAAGGAAAAGAGGCCTCTTGGTCCTCCACCAACCTACAGAGATTCCTGGGCCTACGACTACCATACCTCCAGGTACGTATGTGTGTGTGTGTACTCACCTATATGTGTTTGCAGGGGTCGATTCAGAGCTACTGGCTCCGCCTCTTCGCTGGTCGCTACTAGGTCCACTCTCCGGTCTTCAAGGGCCGGGAGTGTGTGAGTAGTGTGTGTGTACTCACCTAGTTGTACTCACCTAGTTTTGGTTGCAGAGGTCGATTTATAGCTCTTGGCCCCGCCTCCTCACTGGTAGCTACTAGGTTACTCTTCCTGCTCCGTGAGCTTTATCATACCTTTTGTTAAAGCTATGCATAGATCCTGCCTTCACTACATCACTTCCCAGATTATTTCACTTCCTGACTACTCTGTGACTGAAGAAATACTTCCAAGTGTGACCCCTTGTTGCTGTGTCCCATCTCTGGAACATCCTGTATTTGTCCACCTTGTCAATTCCTCTCAGTATTTTATATGTCCTTATCATATCCCCCTATCTCTCCTGTCCTCCAGTGTCGTCAGGTCGAGTTCCCTTAACCTCTACTCGTAGGACATTCTTCTTAGTTCCGGGACTAATCTTGTTGCAAACCTTTGCACTTTCTCTAATTTCCTTAGGTGATTGGCTAGCTGTGGGTTCCAAACTGGTGCCGCATACTCCAATATAAGCCTGACGTACACGGTGTACAAAGTCCTGAGCTATTCCTTATTGAGATGTCGGAAGGCTATTCCTTGGTTTGCTAGGCACCCAAATGCTGCAGCAATTATTTTGTTGATGTGCACCTCAGGAGATGTGTTCGGTGTTATACTCACCCCAAGATCCTTTTTCTTGAGTGAGGTTTGTAGACTTTGGCCCCCTAGACTGTACTCTGTGGTCTTCTATGCCTTTCCCCAATCTTCATGACTTTGCACTTGGTGGGGTTGAACTCCAGGAGCCAGTTTCTGGACCAGGCCTTCAGCCTGTCCAGATCCCTTTGTAGTCCTGCCTGGTCCTCGTCCGATTGAATTCTTCTCATTAACTTCACATCATCTGCAAACAGGGACACTTCGGAGTCTATTCCTTCCGTCATGTCGTTCACATATACCAGAAACAGTCCGTGTGTGTGTGTATGAAAGAGAGGAAAAAATCATTGGAATTTACAGGTTATATTCCGTATAATGTAGTAAACAAAACCACTATTAAATTATAAATATATATATATATATATATATATATATATATATATATATATAATATATATATATATATATATATATATATATCTCGTGCCGAATAGGCAGAACTTGCGATCTTGGCTTAAATAGCAACGCTCATCTTGCCATATAGGACAAATGAAAATTTGTGTATGCAATAATTTCGCCAAAATCATTCTGAACCTAACGAAAAAAATATATTTTACTGTGTTTGTTTAGTATTAAATTATTGTAAACAAATCTAAAATATATTTAATTGGGTTAGGCTAAAATAAATTGTTCTTGTTACAATAAGGTTAGGTAAGTTTTCTAAGATTCTTTTGGTGTAAAATTATAAATTTTTACATTAACATTAATGAAAAAAATATATCTTTAAACGTATAAGAGAAAATTTCAGAAAGGACTTAATTTTAAATTAGTTCTTGCTAATTGACCAGTTTTACATATTTTACATATGGTGGTTGGGGATTTCAATGCTAAAGTGGGTAAAAATGTTATGGAGGGAGTAGTAGGAAAATTTGGGGTGCCAGGGGTAAATGTAAATGGGGAGCCTTTAATTGAGCTATGTGTAGAAAGAAATTTGGTAGTAATACATATTTTATGAAAAAGAGGATAAATAAATATACAAGGTATGATGTAGCACGTAATGAAAGTAGTTTGTTAGATTATGTATTGGTGGATAAAAGGTTGATAGGTAGGCTCCAGGATGTACATGTTTATAGAGGGGCAACTGATATATCAGATCATTATTTAGTTGTAGCTACAGTTAGAGTAAGAGGTAGATGGGAAAAGAGGAAGGTGGCAACAACAAGTAAGAGGGAGGTGAAAGTGTATAAACTAAGGGAGGAGGAAGTTCGGTTGAGATATAAGCGACTATTGGCAGAAAGGTGGGCTAGTTCAAAGATGAGTAGTGGGGGGGGTTGAAGAGGGTTGGAATAGTTTTAAAAATGCAGTATTAGAATGTGGGGCAGAAGTTTGTGGTTATAGGAGGGTGGGGGCAGGAGGAAAGAGGAGTGATTGGTGGAATGATGAAGTAAAGGGTGTGATAAAAGAGAAAAAGGTAGCTTATGAGAGGTTTTTACAAAGCAGAAGTGTTATAAGAAGAGCAGAGTATATGGAGAGTAAAAGAAAGGTGAAGACAGTGGTGAGAGAGTGCAAAAGGAGAGCAGATGAAAGAGTGGGAGAGGCACTGTCAAGAAATTTTAATGAAAATACGAAAAATTTTTGGAGTGACTTAAACAAGTTAAGAAAGCCTAGGGAAAGTATGGATTTGTCCGTTAAAAACAGAGTAGGGGAGTTAGTAGATGGGGAGATGGAGGTATTAGGTAGATGGCGAGAATATTTTGAGGAACTTTTAAATGTTAAGGAAGAAACAGAGGCAGTAATTTCATGCACTGGTCAGGGAGGTATACCATCTTTTAGGAGTGAAGAAGAGCAGAATGTAAGTGTGGTGGAGGTACGTGAGGCATTACGTAGAATGAAAGGGGGTAAAGCAGCTGGAACTGATGGGATCATGACAGAAATGTTAAAAGCAGGGGGGGATATAGTGTTGGAGTGGTTGGTATTTTTGTTTAATAAATGTATGAAAGAGGGGAAGGTACCTAGGGATTGGCGGAGAGCATATATAGTCCCTTTATATAAAGGGAAAGGGGACAAAAGAGACTAAAAATTATAGAGGAATAAGTTTACTGAGTATACCAGGAAAAGTGTACGGTAGGGTTATAATTGAAAGAATTAGAGGTAAGACAGAATGTTGGATTGCGGATGAGCAAGGAGGTTTCAGAGTGGGTAGGGGATGTGTAGATCAAGTGTTTACATTGAAGCATATATGTGAACAGTATTTAGATAAAGGTAGGGAAGTTTTTATTGCATTTATGGATTTAGAAAAGGCATATGATAGAGTGGATAGAGGAGCAATGTGGCAGATGTTGCAAGTATATGGAATAGGTGGTAAGTTATTAAATGCTGTAAAGAGTTTTTATGAGGATAGTGAGGCTCAGGTTAGGGTGTGTAGAAGAGAGGGAGAATACTTCCCGGTAAAAGTAGGTCTTAGACAGGGATGTGTAATGTCACCATGGTTGTTTAATGTATTTATAGATGGGGTTGTAAAGGAAGTAAATGCTAAGGTGTTCGGGAGAGGGGTGGGATTAAATTTTGGGGAATCAAATTCAAAATGGGAATTGACACAGTTACTTTTTGCTGATGATACTGTGCTTATGGGAGATTCTAAAGAAAAATTGCAAAGGTTAGTGGATGAGTTTGAGAATGTGTGTAAAGGTAGAAAGTTGAAAGTGAACATAGAAAAGAGTAAGGTGATGAGGGTATCAAATGATTTAGATAAAGAAAAATTGGATATCAAATTGGGGAGGAGGAGTATGGAAGAAGTGAATGTTTTCAAATACTTGGGAGTTGACGTGTCGGCGGATGGATTTATGAAGGATGAGGTTAATCATAGAATTGATGAGGGAAAAAAGGTGAGTGGTGCGTTGAGGTATATGTGGAGTCAAAAAACGTTATCTATGGAGGCAAAGAAGGGAATGTATGAAAGTATAGTAGTACCAACACTCTTATATGGATGTGAAGCTTGGGTGGTAAATGCAGCAGCGAGGAGACGGTTGGAGGAAGTGGAGATGTCCTGTCTAAGGGCAATGTGTGGTGTAAATATTATGCAGAAAATTCGGAGTGTGGAAATTAGGAAAAGGTGTGGAGTTAATAAAAGCATTAGTCAGAGGGCAGAAGGGGGGTTGTTGAGGTGGTTTGGTCATTTAGAGAGAATGGATCAAAGTAGAATGACATGGAAAGCATATAAATCTATAGGGGAAGGAAGGTGGGGTAGGGGTCGTCCTCGAAAGGGTTGGAGAGAGGGGGTAAAGGAGATTTTGTGGGCAAGGGGCTTGGACTTCCAGCAAGCGTGCGTGAGCGTGTTAGATAGGAGTGAATGGAGACGAATGGTACTTGGGACCTGACGATCTGTTGGAGTGTGAGCAGGGTAATATTTAGTGAAGGGATTCAGGGAAACCGGTTATTTTCATATAGTCGGACTTGAGTCCTGGAAATGGGAAGTACAATGCCTGCACTTTAAAGGAGGAGTTTGGGATATTGGCAGTTTGGAGGGATATGTTGTGTATCTTTATATGTGTATGCTTCTAGACTGTTGTATTCTGAGCACCTCTGCAAAAACAGTGATAATGTGCGAGTGTGGTGAAAGTGTTGAATGATGATGAAAGTATTTTCTTTTTGGGGATTTTCTTTCTTTTTTGGGTCACCCTGCCTCGGTGGGAGACGACCAACTTGTTGAAAAAAAAAAATGTATATGTATATATATGAACATTATCTCTCGGTCCACACCAGGATTCGAACCTGCACACTGCAGTGGACTGGGAGATAATGTTTGTTAACAGTTCGCCTGTTTGAATATGTTGTATAATAAATCAGTGTTACTGATTTCTCATTTTTCCCCACAGAGTGTTGGGTGAGCATCATCCATCTTTCTACAACCAGGAGAGTGAGCCGGTCATCCTCTCTATCCCTAGGCTCTATTCTCCCTCATCCTCACCATCCACCACCACCACCACCACCACCACCACCGCCAGCAGCAGCGCCACACTACCAGCAACACACACAACAACCACTTCCGGGGCCAGATATCATCCTCCCATCTCTGTTACTTCCGGTCAACGTGTTCCGGCACATTTCTACTTGCGTTTCATGCGGTAGATGCGCCGGAGGCTCCTCTAGCGTAGAACTGAACCTCACTACTACAAGCCAAGTAAACATATTAAAAAGGGTACCAGACCAGTGTGTAGGTGTTTTGTATATTGGAGTACTTGTGTGTGATAGTACTCTCAAGACATGAGTACTTATACTAGTATGTGCTTGTAGCGTCGAAAGTGAGGTCATGTACTCACCTTATTGTACTCACCTAATTGTGGTTGCAGAGGTCGATACTCAGCTCCTGGCCCCGCCTCTTAACTGGTCGCTACTAGGTCCTCTCTCTCCTTGCTCCATGAGCTTTATCATACCTCGTCTTACAGCTATGTATGGTTCCTGCCTCCACTACATCACTATCACTGGACTATTCCACTTCCTGACAACTCTATGAGTGAAGAAATATTTCCTAACATCCCTTTGACTCATCTGAGTCTTCAACTTCCAATTGTGACCCCCTGTTTCTGTGTCCCATCTCTGGAACATCCCGTCTTTGTCCACCTTGTCTATTCCGCGCACTATTTTATATGTCGTTATCATGTCTCCCCTGACCCTACTGTCCTGTGTGTGTGTGTGTTGTGTGTGTGTGTGTGTGTGTGTGTGTGTGTGTGTGTGTTTGAGTGTGACCTACCATTCACCCTAATTTCTGACACGAGTTAAAATATCCTCCCCATCTATCCATAATTCCCCCCTCACCCTCCACCTGGGTGACTGGTGTCACCCACGTGAGAGAAGAGCTAAACTCACAGGAGTCACGGAGCGCCCGCACTCACCCAGGCTCCTGGAACCCCCTCCCCCTTCCCCTTCCTTCCTAGATTTTGGAAGAGGGGAGAAGGGGAGATAGATTCACAATGTAGGTAATAATTTTGTGTCAATTATTATATTTATTGAAGTACTGAGGTGACTTATCCTCAAGAACAAATTATTATTTATATAACTTTTAAGTTTGTGATATTAGTTAATAAATTAACTCAATTGTCTTATGTAAATAAGTCAGATTTTACCACTTAAGTTTCTTATATATATATATATATATATATATTATATATATATATTATATATATATATATATATATATATATATATATATATGTATATATATATATATATGTATATATATATATGTATATATATATATATATATATGTATATATATATGTATATATATATAATATATGTATATATATATGTATATATATATATATATATGTATATATATATATATATGTATATATATATATATATGTATATATATATAAAATAATGTATATATATATATATGTATATATATATATATATATATATATAATATATATATATATATATATATATATACATGTGCCGAATATGTAAAACTGGTCAATTAGCAAGAACTCATTTAAAATTAAGCCCTTTCTAAAATTTTCAATTATACGTTTAAAGATATATTTTTTCATTAATGTTAATGTAAAAATTTATAATTTTACACCAAAAGAATCTTAGAAAACTTACCTAACCTTATTATAACAAGAACAATTTATTTTAGCCTAACCCAATTAAATATATTTTAGATTTGTTTACAATAATTTAATACTAAACAAACACAGTGAAATATATTTTTTTCGTTAGGTTCAGAATGATTTTGGCGAAATTATTGCATACACAAATTTTCACTTGTCCTATATGGCAAGATGAGCGTTGCTATTTAAGCCAAGATCGCAAGTTCTGCCTATTCGGCACGACATTATATATATATATATATATATATATATATATATATATATATATATATATAATATATATATATATATATATATATATATTTATATATATAATCTTAACACGTCGGCCGTTTCCCACCTAGGCAAGGTGACCCAAAAAGAAAGAAAAACTCAAAAAGAAAGAAAAAAACTTTCATTATTCAGCACTTTCACCATCACTCATACATAATCACTGTCTTAGCAGAGGCGCTCAGGTACGACAGTTCAGGTGTCCCTCCAAACTGCCAATATCCTAAACCCCTCCTTTAAAGTGCAGACATTGTACTTCCCATTTCCAGGACTCAAGTCCACTAACTGGTTTCCCTGAATTCTTTCACAAAATATTAACCTGCTCACACTCCAGCAACTCGTCAGGTCCCAAAAACAATTCGTCTCCATTCACTCCTACCTACATGCTCACGTACACTTGCTGGAAGTCCAAGCCCCTTGCTCACGAAACCTCCTTACCCTCCTCCCACCAACCTTTTCAGGGACGACCCCTACCCCGCCTTCCTTTCTCTACAGATTTAAACACTCTCCAAGTCATTCTACTTTGTTCCATTCTCTCTAAATGACCAAACCACCTCAACAACCCCTCTTCAACCCTCTGACTAATACCTTTATTAACTCCACACCTTCTCCTAATTTCCACACTACGAATTTTCTGCATAATATTTACACCACACATTGCTCTTAGACAGTACATCTCCACTGCCTCCAACCGCCTCCTCGCTGCAGCCTTTACAACCCAAGCTTCACACCCATATAAGAGTGTTGGTACTATTATACTTTCATACATTCCCTTCTTTGCCTCCATTGATAACGTTTTTTTGACTCCACATATACCTCAATGCACCACTCACCTTTTTTCCTTCATCAATTCTATGGTTAACCTCCTCTTTCATAAACCCATCCGCTGACAAGTCAACTCCCAAATATCTGAAAACATTCACTTCTTCCATACTCCTCTGCAATGTGATATCCAATTCCTCTTTATTTAAATCATTTCATACCCTCATCACCTTACTCTCATCTATGTTCACTTTCAACTTTCTACCTTTACACACACTCCCAAACTCGTGAGTGAAATATTGAAATCCCAGTACGACTCTGTGTTTAGTGAACCACTAATCGGTCTGAGGATCGACGACCCAAATGATTTCTTCATGAATGAGCCTCAAAACTCCATAAATGTATGCCAGATTTCCAACATTACCCTAACTCCGATAGATTTCGAAAAAGCCATTGACAACATGCCTATGCACTCAGCCCCGGGCCCAGACTCGTGGAACTCTGTTTTCATTAAGAACTGCAAGAAACCCCTCTCGCGTGCCCTAAGTACACTATGGAGGAGGAGCTTGGACATGGGTGAAATTCCACAGTCACTTAAAACAACCGATATAACCCCACTCCATAAAGGTGGCAGCAAAGCATTAGCTAAGAACTATAGACCAATAGCTCTGACGTCCCACATCATAAAAATCTTTGAAAGAGTGCTAAGAAGCAGGATTGCAAATCACCTGGATTCCCAAAATCTGCACAATCCAGGGCAACATGGGTTCAGGACAGGTTGCTCCTGCCTCTCACAACTACTGGATCACTATGACATGGCCTTGGATGCACTGGAAGAAAATCAGAATGCAGATGTAATATACACAGACTTTGCAAAAGCATTTGACAAATGCGATCATGGCGTAATAGCCCATAAAATACGTGCTAAAGGAATAACTGGGAAAGTGGGGAGATGGATCTTCAACTTCCTAACAAATCGAACACAAAGAGTAGTGGTCAACAGAGTTAAATCGGAGGCTGCCATAGTGAAGAGCTCTGTTCCACAAGGCACAGTACTCGCCCCCATCTTATTCCTTATCCTCATATCAGACATAAACAGAGATATACACCACAGCACCGTATCATCCTTTGCGGATGATACTAGGATCTGCATGAGGCTGTCATCTGCTGAGGATGCGGTTAACCTCCAAGAAGATATAAACAAAGTTTTCCAGTGGGCAACGGTAAACAATATGATGTTCAATGAGGACAAATTCCAACTACTCCGTTATGGAAAACTGGAGGAGATAATAACTAGAACAGAGTATACTACTGACTCCGGCCATACAATAGAGCAGAAAAATAATGCAAGGGACCTGGGAGTAGTAATGTCTGAGGATCTCACTTTCAAGGATCACAAGAGTGCCACGATCGCACGTGCAAAGAAAATGATAGGATGGATAATGAGAACTTTCAAAACGAGAGATGCCAAGCCCATGATGATCCTTTTCAAATCACTTGTTCTCTCTAGGCTGGAATACTGCTGTACATTAACATCTCCATTCAAAGCAGGTGAAATCGCAGATCTGGAGAGTGTACAGAGATCCTTTACTGCACGTATAAGTTCTGTCAAGCACCTTAACTACTGGAACGCTTGGAAGCACTTGACTTGTACTTGTTGGAACGCAGGAGGGAGAGATATATCATATCTACACTTGGAAAATCTTGGAAGGAATGGTCCCAAATCTGCACACAGAAATCACTCCCTACGAAAGTAAAAGACTGGGCAGGCGATGCAAATGCCCCCAATAAAAAGTAGGGGCGCCATTGGTACACTAAGAGAAAACACCATAAGTGTTCGGGGCCCAAAACTGTTCAACAGCCTCCCATCAAGCATTAGGGGAATTGCCAATAAACCCCTGGCTGCCTTCAAGAGAGAGCTGGACAGATACCTAAAGTCAGTGCCGGATCAGCCGGGCTGTGGCTCGTACGTTGGACTGCGTGCGGCCAGCAGTAACAGCCTAGTTGATCAGGCCCTGATCCATCGGGAGGCCTGGTCATGGACCGGGCCGCGGGGGCGTTGATCCCCGGAATAACCTCCAGGTAACCTCCAGGTCCAGGTATTAACCTTAGCAACTTTTCTTCAGAATCTCCCATAAGCACAGTATCATCAGCAAAAAGTAACTGTGTCAACTCCCATTTTGTATTTGATTCCCCATAATTTAATCCCACCCCTCTCCCGAACACCCTAGCATTTACTTCTTTTACAACCCCATCTATAAATATATTAAACAACCATAGTGACATTACACATCCCTGTCTAAGACCTACTTTTACCGGGAAGTAGTCTCCCTCTCTTCTACACACCCTAACTTGAGCCTCACTATCCTCATAAAAACTCTTTACAGCATTTAGTAACTTACTACCTATTCCATATACTTGCAACATCTGCCACATTGCTTCCCTATCCACTCTATCATATGCCTTTTCTAAATCCATAATTGTAATGAAAACTTACCTACATTTATCTAAATACTGTTGGCATATATGCTTCAATGTAAACACTTGATCTACACATGTCCTACCCATTCTAAAGCCACCTTGCTCATCCGCAATCCTACTCTCTGTCTTACCTCTAATTCTTTCAGTAATAACCCTACCGTACACTTTTCCTGGTATACTCAGTAAACTTATTCCCATATAATTGTTACAATCTCTTCTGTCCCCCTTCCCTTTATATAAAGAAACTATACATGCTCTCTGCCATTCTCTAGGTACCTTCCCCTCTGCCATACATTTATTAAACAAAAATACCAACCACTCCAACACTATGTCCCCCCCTGCTTTTAACATTTCTGTCATGATCCCATCAGTTCCAGCCTCACGCACCTCCCCCCACTCTCACATTCTGCTCTTCTTCACTTCTTAAAGATAATATACCTTCCTGGCCAGTGCATAAAATTACTGCCTCCCATTTTTCATCGGCATTTAAAAGTTCCTCAAAATATTCCCGTCATCTACCCAATACCTCCAGCTCCCCATCAACTAACTACTCTACTCTGTATATAATTGACAAAACCAATCGTTCCCTTGGCTTTTTTAGCTTGTTTATCTCACTTGTTCATGATTCCTCAGCAAATTTCTTGACAGTGCCTCTCCCACTCTATCATCTGCTCTCCTTTTGCACTCTCTTACCACTCTCTTCACCTTTGTTTTACTCTCCATGTACTCTACTCTTCTTATAACACTTCTGTTTTGTAAAAACCTCTCATAAGCTAACTTTTTTCTCTTTTATCACACCCTTTACTTCATCATTCCACCAATCGCTCCTCTTTCCTCCTACCCCCACCCTCCTATAACCACAAACTTCTGCCCCACATTCTAAACTATTCCAACCCTCTCAACCCTCCCACTACTCATACTTGCACCAGTCCACCTTTCTTCTAATAGTTGCTTGTATCTCACCCGAACTTCCTCCTCCCTTAGTT